CCCGCCGCCCCCCCCCCCCTTCCCCCCACCCCCACTCACTGGTCCCACTCCCCCGGAGACACAACTTCAGCCTTGAGTCGTCTGTCCGCCTCTGCCACTCTCTTTGCCGCCGCCTCCCTCGCCTTCTCCTCAAACTCCTCCTGCCATTGGCACACACACACAGGTGGTTGGGCAGACCACGTTGAGTGGCAAAATTTCGAAGCGCCTCAAAAGCCCTGTCTTTGCCGCAGCCTCCCTCGCCTTCTCCTGAAACTCCTCCTGCCGTTCGCATGTCAATTGTTGGGTTGGGTTGGGTTGGATGGACCATGTTGAGTAGCAAGGATCAGGAAATTAATCGACAAGCACTTTCAGCACATGAAGGACAAAGGAACTGCCAGTGCCAGAGAGTGAGAGTGAGAGTGAGAGTAGCAGCTGCCGCCGCCTCCCTCGCCTTCTCCTCAAAATCCTCCTGCCTGATGGCATGTCAATCGACAAGCTCTTTCCGCACATGAAGGACAAAGGAACTGCCAGTGCCAGAGAGTGAGAGTGAGAGTAGCAGCTGCCGCCGCCTCCCTCGCCTTCTCCTCAAACTCCTCCTGCCTGATGGCATGTCAATCGACAAGCTCTTTCCGCACATGAAGGACAAAGGAACTGCCAGTGCCAGAGAGTGAGAGTGAGAGTAGCATCTGCTGCTGCGTCTCACCAGGGACTCGAGCGTGGCAGCCGGCTTCTTGACGGCGGCAAAGCCCTTCTTCTTGCTCTCTGCCAGCACACCACCGCCCTTGCTCTGCAGCACGGGCACCAGCAGCACACCCCGCTCCTGCAGCTGCTTGCGATACCCCTCTGCGCGCTTTATCGCCTGCTGCACCGCCTCCTTTCGCCCTGACAGAATCACCTGCATGCACAGAGAAGGACAGTGCACAGAGCACGTTAGGGAATTGTCATAATTGACTCCCCTCCGCCCGCTTCATCCCCTGCTGCACCGCCTCCTGACAGAATCTCCTGCATGCACAGAGAAGGACGGTGCACAGAGCACGTTAGGGAAATCTCATAAGTGACTCCCCTCCGCGCACTTCATAGCCTGCTCCACTGCCTCCGTGCACCCCGATAGAATCACCTGCACGCACACAGCATGGCGGGACGGGGCAGAGCAAGGAGGCTTCTGAGTTGACTCAAGAGTCATCGCCTGCTGCACCGCCTCCCTGTGCCCCAACACAATCACCTGCACGCACACAGCACGGCAGGACAGGGCAGAACAGGGCGGAACTGCAGCTCCAGTCCCCACGCTGGGACTGCAGCTCCAGTCCCCACGCTGGGACTGCAGCTCCAGTCCCCACGCTGGGACTGCAGCGCCACTCCCCACGCTGCGACTGCAGCTCCAGTTCACGCTTGGGCCAAGGCGCGCGCGCGGACCGAGGCGCGCGCCCGGACCAAGGCTCGCACCTGGACGAGGGCTGTCGTTACAAGGGCAAATGCCCTTAATGCCCTGAACATTAAGCGTTGAGTTCGGCCTAGGTCCCCGAAATTAAAGGGTTGGGTTTCAAATCAGCCCGTCCGCCTAAAGTGCTGTGTTCGGGACTAGGCCGGATTTCAAGTATCAGTCTTAGGGCGAGCCCTTTCCCCTTCGAACTGATTCCTCCCCGACACGCTCCATTTCCCGTCATCCCAGGCCTAGGTGCAGTATAACTTTCCCAAGAGCCATTTTCGATGTACTCTGACACTCTCAAGGTCGGGGCCAGAACCGTTATTTTTCGAAGTCAGAACCCGAGCTGCAAGTTAGAAAGAACGTAAAGTAGTATCAAGTACAAACTTAGTGCTAGATCTGGGACAGGACTACACAAGTACTAGAGAGGTCCCAGTACTTCACCTCACCCTTACAACTTTGAGTGGGTTCGGCGTTGTTGCCGATTCTTTCCACTAAGAGGCTTCATTCAGTGACTAGCCGGCGCGGGACTGGCGGCAGTGCAAAACCAGGGCGATCTCTTGTCTTAGCAAAAGTACATAACACTTTGTAGCCCTGATTTCAAGTGTTGAGTTTGGCCCCAAAACGTAAGTTTAAGGGCACAATTCGGGGCAGCTCAGCCTTCCAAGTTCTCGCCCTAGAGCAATCGACAGCCCTGGCGTGGATCAAGGCGCGCGCGTGGACCAAGGCGAGCGCGTGGACCAAGGCACGCGCGTGGACCAAAGCGCGCGCGTGGACCAAGGCACGCGCGTGGACCAAGGCGCGCGCGTGGACCAAGGCGCGTGCGTGGACCAAGGCGCGCGCGTGAACCAAGTCGCGCGCGTGGACCAAGGCGCGTGCGTGGACCAAGGCGCGCGCGTGGACCAAGGCGCGCGCGTGGACCAAGGCGCGCGCGTGGACCAAGGCGCGCGCGTGGACCAAGTCCTGCGCGTGGACCAAGTCGTGCGCTGGGACTGCAGCTCCAGTCCCCACGCTGGTGCCTGACCGGGTGCGTGGTGCCCCTTAGCTGCACCACCTTGCCTGACTGCAGGCGGAGGGGCAGACAGAGGAACCTGTTACGATTCATGTACCCGGTTCCCCATTCCTTTTCTCACTCACCGGGCGTGTGGTTCCCCTGAGCTGCACCAGCTCCACCACCTTGCCTAACTGCAGCCGGAGAGGCAGACAGAGGAACCTGGTGCCGCTCAAGCACCCATACACAAACACCCGGTTTCTTTTCCCCTCACTGTCTCTTACCGGGCGTGTGGTTCCCCTGAGCTGCACCAGCTCCACCACCTTCCCAGACTGCAGGCGGAGAGGCAGGCGAGAGAGCGTCTCATCACGTGACACGCGCCCCATCTGCTCCTCCTCGCGCCGCTGCTCCCACAGGTACAGGCCCACCATCGCCGCCCCGCCTGGAGGTGGGGTGAGAGGAGCAAGGTGAAGAGGTGGGAGAAGGGAGGAAAGGCGGGCAATGAGAGGCGCCCCATCTGTTCCTCCTCACGCCGCTGCTCCCACAGGTACAGCCCCACCATCGCCACCCCGCCTGATGGCCAGGCAATGGCAGCAAGGGGGGAGGTGGGAGAAGAGAGGAAGGGGGGAAACGGGAACCAGAAGATGGCCTAGAGGAACACGGAGAGAAAGGAACGAAGATATGCCAGCACAGAGATATTCAGCTCCAGGACTGCGAGTAGCTCACCCAAGGCCTTCCTGTCTCTTCCCTTCCATCCATCTGCCACCTCCATCATGGCACTTCCACACACCATGCTCAGCTCACTCAGTCTGCCCCTCAAAGCACCGCTCTTCAGCGCACAGCACCCTCACCTCCCAGGTCAATGGCCAGGTTGCCGCCAGTGGTGAGCAGATCCGGGGCGTCCATCCCTCCTTGGACGGCCAGGATGAACCGGGGGATGGTGATGACGGTGGCGATGCCAGCAGCCATGCCCAGCGCCACGTAGAGGAACCTCCTCACTCCTCTGAACGGCGCCTGCACCTCTGCGATCAGCTTCAAGTCCCGCCGAAACTTGCCGCCCACTTCTTCACCGCCCTTCCGTGCCTGGAACAGGTGACGGGGAAGGGGAGCAGGAAGGAAGGCTGGGTGTGCAATGTGCTGCACATCAGCTCTCCTCCAAACCTTCTCCCCCCTGCAGTCCAGTTCTATCTCAGTCCAGTGCTCTTTCAGTCCAGTTGTCGCTTCTTCTCCCCTTTCTCCTTCCCTCCCCCTCCATGGTTCATGCAGGCATCAACAGACCCCAAAATGGCTATGCTCCCGGCCTTACACTCTCTCTCCAATTTCCCTGTGCGCCCTACAGTGCCACCATATCTCACCTCCTCTCCAATTTCCCTGTGGCCCTCACCTCCTCTTGAAGAGCTCTAAATTCAGGCATGGCGCGGAACGCCGCCATGTCCGGGTCGCTGAGAATCACGCTGAACTGCAGCCCGTACCGCAGAGCGTCGCGCAGCGCCTCCTGCGCCTGCGCGCCCTCCTCCCTGCACGCGCCACGTCAACCGAGCGACGTCAGATCACGGTATGCGACTGAATAGCCTGGAAAACACGCACTGGAATTCCAATATTCTGGCCGTGTGCGAAATCCCAGTGTTACTAGCTCCCAGCGTTCTATTCACTTGCGGTTTTTACGTTATATGACCCTCGCGCTACCTGAAAGCATGGCAGCACGCCTTATTGTAGAGCGCCGCCTGCGCCTCTTCCTCAGACGGTTTCATCTCGAGAGCCATCTCGAACCGCCTCAGCGCGTCGCGAACCCGCCCTTTCTTGTACAGCTCCAGCCCCTGATTCACCGCCTGCTCCGCGCTTCGCGGGACCACCATATCCGGGGCCGTCCCCGCCGCAACCGGCGCTGATCCATCTCCCCCGTTGCTGGCTTTCGCCCTGACGCTCGGAACCACACCTCGTTTTTTACTGTGAATACCTTGTTTATCATGGCTTCCGGGAAGCCTTAGCCACGCGTGCTTTTGCAGTGCACGGGACGATCTGCGAGTGGGTAGCAGAGCGGGAATGTGGGAGCTGCCGGACGATGTGGTGCTCTGGTAGGCGCTCAGTTGTGCACTGACCGTCTGTGGCAAGTGGCTGACGTGGCAGATGGATGCCATGTCAGTCAGGCGCGACAGTTTCTCAACCTGTGTGGAAGAAACCGACCTCACAGCTGATGATTATCAACGAAAGCCGGTAAGACGGAAGTTAGCCAGTCGGAGGCTAGCTTGCAATGCTTGGAGAACTGGGATTTGGAGAAGGGGGAATATGTTCTAGAAGAGTGTCAAATGGTTGAAATGAACTGAAACCTAGGTGGGGCGAAATTGTTGACCTTGGGAATTCCAGCTGATGCCACGAGGGATGAACGGCTACGATGCGATTGTTCCGGATTGTGGAACCAGCCTTATCCGAAAGATGCGAAAACCACCCTCTATTATTGAACGAGGCCAAATGATAATATTGTAACCTAAACGATCCTGATACAAACAAATACAAAAAACTCATGAGACCACCAATTCTTTCTTGATTCTCAAAACTCTTACCAGATCCAACACCACATACATAAACCTGGATCATAACATCTCATTGTTATCTCCGGCTAGGCTTCTCCAACACGCAATTTAGGTACACATGCTCACCCTCCCTCTCAGCTGTATCCGTTTTCGGCGTCAGGTTCCAATACTTTTTACCATACCCAAACTGCTCAATCACCCCAATGTACAGCGGCATCTCCCACACCGGCGCATAGAACAGCTCAAACCACCAGATCCCTCCAGGCCTTAGAATCCGGTCCCACTCGAACAGAAGCTCCTCAAATTCTGGGATGGAGAAATACTTGATACTGTTCACCGTGTGAATCAAATCCAGCGTGTTGTCAAAGAATGGCTGGCGGGCCTTGTGCGGCACGTGCAGCGGCACCAGACCCCTCTGCGCAATCGTCTCCATATAAGGCAACCCCATTTCCACTTCTTGCACCGTCTCCGTGTTCATAGCCGTGGTCAATATTGTCACATTGTACAGCGCAAGCGCCGCTGCAAAGCTGCCTGTACCCCCACCGGCATCCAAGCCAATCCTGATCGACCCTGGCGGCTTCAGCTTCATCACCTCTGCTAGAGTCACCGCCCCGCGATAGTTATTCTTCCACCGCTTCGCCTCCAGTGTGAGGTTAAAGCAGTCGCGGCAATCCCCAAGCAGCCGCGAGTTAATGCATCCGTATGACTTGCAGCGGTGCAGGTCCCACCGCACGTTCGCATCCAGCAGGGCCCGCGGATTGAACACAGACTGGGGGAACGGGATGCTTGGCTCTTGGTAATCGGGGGGTGCTGCGGCGAAGCAGCGGCGGCGCGGCAGGCAGAAGCAGTTGCGGACGAAGATGAGGTGCTGGACAAAGTACCAGTCATCTGGACAGGGTTTCTTTGGAGAGTAGTTCAGGTATTTCAGCAGCTCCTCGTCTGTCGCACTGCACGACGTGGCACGAATCCGGGCAGCCGAAAGCTGCCCGCTGCTGTACCCGCCGCCAATGGCGCTCTCCCGCGCTGGTTCAGCTGCCCGGCCGCACTCTTCGATTGCTTTCCGGGCAGCCTGAAGAGCATCATCACTAGAGACGGTATCATTACAATCTGTGGTGTTCCTTGAGTAATGCGCCACTGCAGCTGCCAGCCTCTCTCTCTCCTGCTGCAGCCTCTCGTTCAGAATCTGCTGCTGCTCGCACTGTGTCTGCAGCGCTGCCAGCATCTCACTCTCACTCATCGCCACAACCGCAGCAGGCTCAGCACCACCAGACCCGGTCACTGCACCGGTCGTTGCCGCATCACCAGTGGTTGCAGCAGCAGCACCGTTAGTCCCGGCCTCCCCTCCCGTCCCCGCTGCTCCGCCAGCCTGCCCTAGACTCTCTCTGCACTCTTGCAAAGATGCCTCGCATTTCGCCAGCTCTGCCGCAGCAGCAGCATCGGAATCAGAACCACTGATTTCCCCTCCTCCCCCTCCTCCCCCGGTGTTGTTGCTGACGTCAGAGAAGGTTTTGAGATCCTCGGCTTTGATTGGGCCCGAGTGATTCGCTTTAAGCCGCGCGATTTCGTCCATAAGCGTGCGCACCTCGTCGCGAAAGAGCTGGCGCTTAGCCGTGCGCAGCTGCTGCTTCTCGATCTCCGCGCGCAGCTTCCCCAGCACCTCCTCCGCGCTCTCCCCTGGCCGCGGTTGCGCCGCCTGCTGGTGGTACCGCGGGAGCAACAGGGACGCCGCGGAGTGCGCTGCAACGTGCGCGTCGGTGGCGGTGTAACGGAAATTGTAACCAATCTCCACGGAGAGGAAGGCGAAGCATGCGAAGAGCGCGAAGATGAGGAGCGAGCGAAGGTTCGTATGCGACACGAGGCTTGACAATGCCGACGCCATGATAGGCTGAAATGTCACGACAAACAGATGCCTTTATACCAGGAACTTCGAGATCATCGTGTGACGCTCAAAGAAATGCTCATGCTCGTCCTAACAAGCAAAATGTTAGCATGGCAAGTGGAGCTGTTTGGTGCGCGGGGAAGGTGAGTTATGTCTGACCTAAATTGCCAAGCCAGCACAAACACAAGTGGAGCATCTCACACAAGCAGGTGGATGTTGGAGCAACAAGACAGGTGAAATAAGCCCACTGAATACTATGTGGCATTACTGCAGCCTTTCAGGGTACACTGCGCGGTGCACAACGTTGCTTGCCTGAACCTGAGTGGTCTCGGGTGCGGACTTCAAATCCGTAGCGGCTTGACGGCCGAGCTGTTCGATTCAGCCTGGCGAGCGATGAGGGAGTGATCCTTCGGGAAACGCATCAGTTTGATTGTATACTCGAACAAATTGCATACACGACGTTCTCGATGCTTCGCTTTGCTGTCTATGATACAGTCAGGCATCTCCTCCATTCCATTTCCAAACAACCTGGGTTTTCCTCTACTCGCTCCATTCATTCACCTCAGCTTTAGGAGGCACCTTCACGTTCTGGGTTTCAGCCTACGTCCTGATTTGTTCGGATTGTGACGCTGGTGCTAGTGAACGTGTTCCTGCGTTCGTTGCTTAACTTCGCATATTAAGTGACTCGTCGCACCGCAGCCATGGGCGACCGCACGGTCCACGTCGGCAATCTCGAGACGTTCGTGAACGAGAGCACGCTTTACCTGCTATTCTCGCAGTTCGGCACCGTCACCAACGTTCGCCTTGCTGGGTAAGTCACGTTGCATACTGATGTGCTTTGCGTTTAGCTGCGCTTACAGCAGTCAGGCATCAGATCTACGCACTGGATCTGCTCACGTGGTTCTGAGTAATCGAATCAAGGCTGCTTGCACGTGTCCGTTTCTCCTGATTTTTAGTGCGCACTTCTGCATACTTTTATAACCATTTTTTTTATTTTTATCCTTCCCGGCTTGTCGCAGTGACCCTAAGATGCAGACGCGATACGCGTTTGTGGAGTTCAACGATTCCGTTATGGCGCACGCAGCGTGCTTGCTGGACGGGCTGCAGGTCGGCTCGCGCAATCTCCGTGTCTCGCTCTCCAAACCATACGCCGGGGTACGCATCGCCCGTCGATACCATCTCCTCTCTTTTTTCGACTCTCTGGCGTTCTGTTTCGTCTTGCGTCCATCGTGAACCCAGCGTACTCTCAATCTTAGTGCTCGCACTCAAACCCAATCTTTATGCCCAAATCTTGCCTCTGTTTTAATCTCGCTCTTAGCTTCCGTTCTTCTTGTGCCTGGGCATGACAGAAAGGAGCGGCGTCAGCAGCCGTGCAGAACCCCTTAGCTGCGCTGATGGGCGGCGCGGGACTGGCAGCGACACCCGCCGTGAGCGCTGCGCCTCGGAAGCGGTCCACCGTGGAGGATCAGGAGCGCATTTCACGGACCATCCACGTCCGCAATGTCGACATCCAGGTCAGCGAAGTTAAAAACTAGCCTTTTGAATTGAAAGCATTGCTTGCCTGTATTTTGTGCGACGTAGCCTTCTTAGCGACCTTATTAATCGTCGTCATTTCCTCATTTCTTACTTTATCATATATTTTCCTCCCACCTATTCCCCTTCCGCACGTCGCGTCCCCGGTCAGATCACGGAGGCGATGCTGGTGGAGTATTTCGGCGTGTGCGGGACCGTGACGGCCGCGCGCACGGCGGGCACGAACAACCCCCGTACGGCGTGGGTCGAGTTCGCCGCGCAGCAGTCCGCGCTCGCCGCGCTCTCGCTGGACGGCCAAGTCCTTGCCGGGCAGACCTTGAGGTAGTTTCGGGCAGACCGTAATGTTGTTTCGAGCGCACGGTGACGCTAGATTAGTCTCTTATCCAGCAGCCACTCAAGCATGGCGGTATAACTTGTGTTGCCCCGCCCCGCTGCACAACAACCCTTCAGTTCTCCGACCCTGCGCGTCTCTCCCTTCCGCCTCCCTCTTTCCGCGTGCTACCAGAATCTCCCCCAGCAAGTCCGCCATTCAGACCAACGCGCTCTCGCAGCGCAACGCGCCGCCGCCGGCGCTGCCGACCATGACGCCCGCGATGATGATGGCCGCCGTCGCCGCGCCGCAGAACATCGTCAAAGTGCAGGGCATCCCGGCTAAGGTGTGCCTCGCTGTCCCGCTTACCAGCTACATCCTGCGGTTACTGTTCATTGCTTTTATTCGCACGTATCTTCCCTCCGCGCATCTCCCTCCCCCCTCCGCGCATCTCCCTCCTCCGAGCATCAACCCCCTCCGCGCATCGCCCCTCTCCCCGCACTTCTCCGCTCCGCGCCTCACCTGCTCTCTACTCCCGCCCCTTGCGTCCCGACGCCCATCTTTCCCGCCCGACCCTCCTTCCCGCCCTTCCTCCCGCCCTACCCTCCATTTCTGCCCTTCTCGCCCCTCCCGAAGCCCACCCACCCCGTGGTTCCCCCGTTGCGTGTGCGTGCTGCCGTGTGCCGCCCAGGCCTCGGAATCGGACGTGCGCGCGCTCGTGGAGGGGCGCTGCGGCCACGTGCGCTCGCTGATCATCGTGCCCGTGCCAGGCCCGCCGCCTGAGGAGCTGGCCAAGGAGAAGGGCGAGGGCGAGGAGGGGGGCGACGGCGAAGAGGGTTACAAGGGCCCGACGAAAATGGCGACGGTGGAGGTGGAGGATGCAGAGGCGGTGGCGAAGGCGCTGGAGCTGAACGGCACCAAGTTCATGGGCGCTACCATCTCGTACGTCCTGTTCTTCTGCCCCTCTGCCCCCCGGGCTTGCCGTCTTGGCTTTGTTGCTTCTGTGCCGTTCTTTACCCTTTCCCTTCCCCCCTTGATCCCCCATTCTCCCCTCCTTCTTTCTCCCCTTCACCCTTTGCCCACTTTCCCCCTTACCCTCCTCTCCTCTTTTTGCCCTGCTCGTCCCTCCCGCCTACATCCTTCCCTGCCCTTTCCCGCCATCCGCACTTGTATCCCGTATTTCATCCTCCCTTGCAGCGTTGTACTCGCCATGGCACCAACCGCTTCATTCTTCCTTGCAGCAGCTTCATAACCCATTTTTTTCCTGCATCCAAGTCCCGTACCCTCCCCTTGATTCTTAACACACCCCCTTTTCTTGGCTCTTGCGCTTCTGTCCTGCTTCCGCTGCCTCTGCTCCAACACCTGCTGCCATCCTGCCGGCTTGCATTGCTGCTGCTGCCGCCGCCGCTGCCGCCTCTGCTGCTGCTACCTGCCGCTGCGGCTACTGGTGGGCGGCTGGTGCTGCTACTGGTGGTGCTGCTGCTGGGTGGTGTGCTGGTGAGCAGGGTTGAGAAGGTTGAACCCCTCCCGCCCGCCCCCGTGCCCGCCCCTTCGTCCATCCCTCCTGCAGCCTTCGCCATTCCCGGCCTCGACCCCTCTCTCCTCGACCCCTCCCTTCTCTCCGATCCCACCTTCCTAGCCGCTGCCACTGCGGCTGGTCTCCCCACCACCGCCCTGCCTCCCCCGCCCCCTTTACCTCCCAACACACAACCCACCATCGTGGCATCTGAGACTGGCACTGATGGCACCGCCACAGGCACAGAAGCCACAGCAGCAGCTGCAGCATCGGCAGACGACGACCGGAAAGACTCTCACGGTGGGTTGCCGCATCCCCATTCCCATGGCTTGGCTTGCCCGTGTCTGCACGGCAGGCAGTTGTGTTGTAGTCACTGCATCTTGACTTGTGATGTGTGGTACGTTGGCTATATGGGTTGTCAATCTACCTCTTCATGTGTGGTGTGGTGTGGTATGGTGTGGTGATGCAGGGTCGCACAAGCGCTCGGCGGATGACACTGAGGGGGGAGAGAAGCGCGCACGCCATGACTGACAGGCCATGCAAACACCAATTGGGTTCACTTGTTGGCCTCGAAACCAAACCTTTCTTTGCCAACACACCATGGCTAGTACTTTCTAGGCTATTTCTGCCATCTATAGTCTACACCCTGGGTTAGGTGGCAACCACCTACAGATTAGCTTCCAATGGTGGTCTGGTTCTAGCATTTCAGATCTCCTTGGGTTGGGTGTAGTGTGGAAGTAAGCTTGTAGGATTCAAATCTCACACATCAGGTGAGGAAATTGATAAGAAGGCTCTACTGTCTAACCCAATCTAGAAACTGCTTTAGGTGCCATATTCATGTCTTTGCAGTGTCATGGCTCTGTCTTGCATACCCAATCCTGGGTACTACAGTACAATGGGCAGGCTGCTGGTGGCATAACATGACGGGCTAAAAAATGGTTTTGGCAAACCCAAGCTCACACAATGGTGGAAGTTAGAATGCAGAAGATTTGCCATTAGAAGAGCACCTAACACACTAGCAGGGAACTTGCCTCCAAGTCTCCTCACTTCTGTCTCAACCACGAATCATCCCCTCCAGCAGCAAACTCTGGCGCTTTAGGCGGCGGATTAGCAGCAAACACATCATGCTTCTCCCCTCCACTCACCCCGCCGCTGCTGCTGCTGCTGCTGCTTCCCCCTTGAGCGCCCTTCTCCCCGCCTGCGCCCCCCCAAGAGAACCACCCTCCCCAGCCTGACGATGTGCCACTTTCTGACGCTACCGGACCGGTCTGTACCGCCGCCGAGCCAGATCCAGGGCTGAGTTCTACGTTCGGCAACGTCACAGCGCCACCAGCGCCGGGGCTGACTAGCTCAGGTTGGGTGGACAGGGTAGGGGCGACGACAGCGGGAAGAGCGGCGGGTTGGACAACCACTGGCATGCTCATGGGCTGCTCGATCTGCGCGGGGGGAGGCTCGTCACGCGGGGGAGGCGGAAGCGCGGACGTCATGCGGTTGAGCATGATCCCCGCGCCCTCGATCAGCCCCAGCAGCACTCCGCCGAACACGGCGGACTGCAGCGCGGATCGCGGCCCCGCGCGCAACTGGAGGAAGCCGCCAGTGAGAAAACCCGCGGCGATGGAATTCCAGGGGTCTTCCTTTTGGCGGAGATACACTAGCGAGCAGTCGAACGTTGAAAACAGCCCGCCCCACACCGCGAAGCTTCCGCCGATGCGCGGCGCGTTGATCCGCACGGCCTGCGTTCCGCCGATGAGGCGCTCCCCGCGCGGGGAGTTCTTCGCCCCGCGAATGAAATGCCACGCGGCGCCGCCCACCGCGCCCATGCTAAACGCGCCGCCTACGTCATCGAGGATGCGATCCGGGCACGGCTCGCGGCCGTACTCCCCCGCCATGTGCTTCTAACGAGCTGTGTGAAAACTGCTTACAGAAAGACACGCGAGGACGTCGCGATCGGATGAGTTAACGCAAAGCGGCAGATTAGGAGTTTGCGACTGGTTCTCCGCAGTTTCTCGTTACAATCGAGGCGGATCTGGAGAAGGGGGAGGGTACGCGCGATAAGCGATGGCTCGTAACGAAGTGACGGCACGGGGCGGGATAAAGGCGGGGAGATGGAGATGTAGGTGGAAGAACGATCGTGAAACAGAGGCGGCTGTGGAAAAAACTACCTGTCCTCGCAGTGAAGGCCGAGGGGACGCGTCGGGTGTGTTAGATGCTAGCTGTAAATTCTCGTCTAGAGGTTTGTGGGGTTGGGGTGGGGGCAAGGGATGGAGAGGTAGGGGGAAGAAGGCACGAGAACTGGCAGGCACACTGGAAACCGAGTTTGCCTATATCGGGTTCAGCTTCACTGGTCTGGTTGGTTGCCGTGAACTTGGAGCGGTTGTGGCGTGTGCGCCGATTCCCGCTGTATCGCGGACACCACGTCAGTCAAGCATCTCATAAGAAGCGTCAGCCAAATACACCAACTTAGAGGACGGCTTACATAAAATAACAGCTCAATGAAGTCAGGGGAATACATTATCGTATATATTCGTTATTCGTCAATCGTCATTCGTGACTCGTCACTCATCACTTGTCATTCGTCACTCGTCACTCGTCATTCGTCATTCGCCATTCGTCAGTCATCACTCGTCACTCGTCATTGGTCATTCGACATTCGTCATTCGTCAGTCAACACTCGTCATTCGTCACTCGTCATTTGTCACTCGTCACTCGTCATTCGTCATTCGCCATTCGCCATTCGTCATTCGCCATTCCTCATTTGTCATTCATCATTCGCCATTGGTAATTGGTAATTCGACATTCGCCATTCGTCATTGGTAATTCGTTATTGGTTATTCCTGATTTGGCATTCGTCATTCGTCATTCGCCACTAGTAATTGGTCATTGCCGTTGGTCACTCGTCATTGCCATTGGTCATTCGTCATTGCTATCGGTTATTCGTCATTCGCCATTTGGAATTCGTCATTCAAAATGGCGGATGACGAATGACCAATGACGAATGGTGAATGACGAATGGTGAATGACGAATGCCAAATGACGAAAGACGAGACGAAATGACGAATGTCAATGAAGAATGACGAATGGCAATGACAAATGGCGAATGACGAATACGAATGACCAATAACGAATGGTGAATGACGAATGACGAACGACGAATGGCGAATGGCGAATGACGAATGACCAATAACGAATTGCGAATGACGAATGACGAATGGCAATGACGAATGGCGAATGCCGAATACGAATGACCAATAACGAATGGCGAATGACGAATGGCGAATGACGAATGGCAATGACGAATTGTGAATGGCGAATGCCGAATACGAATGTCCAATAACGAATGGCGAATGACGAATGGCGAATGGCGAATGGCAATGACGAATTGTGAATGGCAATGACGAATGTCAATGATCCGCACATGTGCAGGAAATGCAGCGGGCGCTCTTCATTCGCGAGCAACGATGACCGATGATGCTCGCAACCCTCCCACGCCCTTGCTGGCTTGGTAATAGGCCCAGACAAGCGTAGCCACGTGACCCGTCAGAAGAAAAACGCTCGGAACGAGTGCTTCCAGCACCAAAACGCGGAAGGATCTGCACATGTGGAGGAAGTGCAGCAGACGCTCTTCATTCTCGAGCGCCGATGACCGATGATGCTTGCAACCCTCCCACGCCCTTGCTGGCTTGGTAATAGGACCAGACAAGCGCAGCCACGTGACCTGGCGGAAGAAAAACGCTCGGAACGAGCGCTTCCAGTCCCAAAACGCGGAAGGATCCGCACATGTGTACGAAGTGCAGCGGGCGCTCTTCATTCGCGAGCGCCGATGACCGATGATGCTCGCAACACTCCCACGCCCTTGCTGGCTTGGCAATAGGCCCAGACAAGCGCAGCCACGTGACCCGGCGGAAGAAAAACGCTCGGAACGAGCGCTTCCAGCCCCAAAACGCGGAAGGATCAGCACATGTGCAGGAAGTGCAGCGGGCGCTCTTCATTTGCGAGCGCCGATGACTGATGATGCTCGCAACCCTCCCACGCCCTTGCTTGCTTGGCAATAGGGCCATACAAGCGCAGCCACGTGATCCGGCGGAAGAAAAACGCTCGGAACGAGCGCTTCCAGCCCCAAAACGAGGAAGGATCCGCACATGTGCACAAAGTGCAGCGGGCGCTCTTCATTCGCGAGCGCCGATGACAGATGATGCTTGCAACCCTCCCACGCCCTTGCTGGATTGGCAATAGGCCCAGACAAGCGCAGCCACGTGACCCGGCGGAAGAAAAATGCTCAGAACGAGCGCTTCCACCCCCAAAACGCAGAAGGATCCGCACACGTGCAGAAGGTGCAGCGGGCGCTCTTCATTCGCGAGCGCCGATGACCGACGATGCTCGCAACCCTCCCACGCCCTTGCTGGCAAGGCAATAGGCCCAGACAAGTGCAGCCACGTGACCCGGCGTAAGAAAAACGCTCAGAACGAGCGCTTCCACCCCCAAAACGTGGAAGGAGCACCATATGTGCAGGAAGTGCAGCGGGCGCTCTTCATTCGCGAGCACCGATGACCGATGATGCTTGCAACCCTCCCACGCCCTTGCTGGCTTGGTAATAGGACCAGACAAGGTCAGCCACGTGACCCGGCGGAAGAAAAACGCCCAGAACGAGCGCTTCCACCCCCAAAACGCGGAAGGAGCCGCACATGTGCAGGAAGTGCAGCGGGCGCTCTTCATTCGCGAGCGACGATGTCCGATGATGATTGCAACCCTCCCACGCAATTGCTCGCATGGTAATAGGACAAGACAAGTTCAGCGACGTGACCCGGCAGAAGGAAAGCGCTCGGAATGAGCGCTTCTACCCCCAAAATGCGGAAGGAGCCGCACATGTGCAGGAAGAGCAGCGGGCGCTCTTCATTCGCGAGCGCCAATGACCGATGATGCTTGCAACCCTCCACGCCCTTCTTGGCTTGGTAATAGGACCAGACAAGTGCAGCCACGTGACCCGGCGGAATAAAAACCCTCAGAACGAGCGCTCCGCACATGTGCAGGAACTGCAGCGAGCGCTCTTCATTCGCGAGCGCCGATGACCGATGATGCTTGCAACCCTTCTACGCCCTTGCTGGTTTGGTAATATGATCAGACAAGGTCAACCACGTATCCGGCAGAAGAAAAGCGCTTGGAACGAGCGATTCCACCCTAAAAAGTGGAAGGAGCCGCACATGTGCAGGAAGTGCAGCGGGCACTCTTCTTTCGCGACCGACGATGTCCGATGATGCTTGCAACCCTCCCACGCCCTTGATCGCATAGTAATAGGACAAGAGACGCTCAGCGAAGTGACCCGGCGGAAGAAAAACACTCGGAACGAGCGCTTCCACCCCCAAAACGCGGAAGGAGCCGCACATGTGTAGAAAGTGCAGCGGGCGCTCTTCATTCGCAAGCGCCGATGACCGATGATGCTTGCAACCCTCCCAGGCCCTTGGTGGCTTGGTAATAGGACTAGACAAGCCCAGCCACATGACCCTGCGGAAGAAAAACGCTCGGAACGAGCACTT